AGCTGGACAATTTGAGAAAGAGAAGCAGCAGTTCCTGAATACAGCTGATCTGTGGTGTACATACACACACACACAAATACCTATCTCTGAAGAAAGCTTGATACAGCCAATAAAAATGACCTTTTAAAAATTTTGTCTAGAGGAACTGTAACCTCAGGCCAAGAGAAAAAAAAAATCCAGAAAGCAACAAAAATTAAAGAAATTAAAAGTGCAAATGCTAGCAAGAAGGGAGGATTAAGGGATAGCATGTGGAAAGTAGAGGAGCAAGAGCAGGAAAGCAAGACAGGATTATGGGTCTGTAATGAAGACAGGGAAAAGACAGGCAGAGAAGAGTTGAAAGGAAGGGATTAGTCATGAGACAGCAGGTCCGTATGTCCTGTGCTACGTGTCACACAGCGTAGGAACTCCCTTCTCCCCCAGGAGCGTCCGAACTCCCCTCTCCCTGGCTGCTGCTGCTCGTATGAGCAGAAATCTGTGTGTCTCACCCACTTTGGGATGTTAGGGGGAGCTTGTTCATCTCTGCACTTTTTTAATTTTCAGTATGGGTCTCTGAGAACTTGTGCTGTTTATGGTTATGTCAAGATACTCTGTAGAAAGACCTTTAAAATGTACCTTTAGAAAACGCTGTATTCTGTTGTGTGAATTTTAAGCACTGATAATTAAATGGAACTTATGCCCTTCCAAAATATTTTGACATTAGAGCCTTTATTTTTCCACTAGGTAAAATTTCTGTTGGTAGAAGACCTTACTCTCCATATAAATGGTCTGTGCAATTTTCTGAGCCAGTGAGTTCAATTAAAGAAGTTAAAGAATAAATATACACTGGAAATATATATTGAAGTACACGAAGGCCTGGACACCAGTCCTGTGTTTTGGTAGAGAATGTTGAGCCCCAAAGTGTTACCATTAATTTTCTTTATCTCATTAGATTTCTCACCTTTCTCACACTTTAATAGGGTCCCTGTGCCTCCTCTTAACCTGCTTTCAGGAAGTAGTCACAGGAAGGCAAACATCACATTTAACAGGACCTGCAGAGGCTCGTATTCACAATGATAACATCACCCATGGTGGACAGCAAAACTAATCCTCACCTCCTCTGCTGACCGCTTGCCTGACATAGAATTATATTAACAGGCAGACCAGCAGCCAGACTCCTCCCTCCACTACCACATCACACACCAGAGACCCAAAGTGCCAGACAACCAGAAGGAGGAACAAGTCAAGGCACTCACTCACTGCAAATAACATGAAAAAGGGAGCAAGTTGGCCAAGGAAACATGCCATGGGAAATGGAATCAGCCAAAAATTAGTCTAATTATATAGTAGTTCCGCAGAGAGAGACTCATGAACTTGCCCCACCATCCTGAGAACCCCACTTGGTATGAAGAGTCAGGGGGCCCTCAATAATCATAATCCCCACACAATTCATACACTGTATCAACAGCCCTCCCAACCCCACTGCAGTCAGCTCTTATA